GCACCTGCACCACCTCCGCCTGCACCACCTCCACCTACACCTGCACCTGCACCAAGAATCAATACAGTTCTCACCTCATTTTAATATTTTTTCTTAATTGTCTCCAACAGAATCTTTCCCCTTGAAATCTGTAAAGCATCGTGTCTTTGCGACTATTTGTACCGCTGATAGGTCACCTTCAGAAATTCTGATTTCCTGATTTAGACCAGCGGTCACCAACCGGGGGTCCGCAGACCACTGGTGGTCCGTGAGGTCCGAAAGGTTGGCGACCGCTGATTTAGACCATATCTCCCAACTACACGTAAGCCTTTGAGGGGAGGAGCTATTTTTTATAGCTCTGAGCATTTCCCAAACTCCCGTGCACATGACGAAGAGGGCGCTCGGTATGTCTGGAATTAGGGTGACGATGTAGTAGAGGGTGTCACACTGGGACCGACAGGAAAGCCGGCTAGCTGCACGGCTTCATCCACCCACAGCACTTCCCTGTGTTTTATGTAAAAGTGGAGCAGGACACTGGGACGGTGTTTGTGCAGGACAGCAAAAGCCTAAAATTATTTCCTGCTTTCGTTAAAATGCTTTCTTTCACACCCGACAAATGAATTATAGAGTCTAATCCGAAGTTTTCTGCCTTTAACAGGATGGCAACTTCTCTAGCAGGACTGTACTTGAAAAACCTCAAAATATGATGGTGGTGGGACAGTCAGCGTTTGCAGACTTCGGTAAGGTTGTTTCCGTCTTGCACTTTCACCCCCACACTCTGCCCCGGTCGGATCAGCTCCCCAGGTCAGCAGACAGCTGCCTTCAGACCCAGGCAGCGTTGTGCGTGTGATGTGGGCAGACCCTTCATGCAGCGGAGCAGTTTACAGCGTGTGTTTAATAACAGAGCGAGCCCAGGTGCCTGTCTGTAGGGAAGGTTCTTGTATGTCCAGGTTATGGAACCAAAATAACAGAAGGAGTTTGCCTGCCTCTGGCGACGTGAACACCAGAGCGTTGTATCTGCAGCCAATGGCAGGGAAGGGGCACACCTGTTACGAATTCCTGCAGGGGCGTGTGGTCTCCTTGCATAGGTTCTGTACCACAAGCCAAGCTGACGTTGGCTGGGG